CAGTAATTTTGCTATTTCAAGTATAAATAAGTCGTCTACACCCATGGAATCAAAGAGGAGACTTTCTCACGCAAATTCGGAGGTAGATTTTTCACGAGGTCTGAGAAAAAGACGTCTGATTACAATCAAGCCTGTTAAATCTGCGGTTAGTGCATCCGGGAATTCGGGTGCTTCAGCCAAACTCGCAACTGATTCTTCGTCTTTCAACTCAACAAATCCTCCAAAGTCTAGTAAGTTACATGTGGACTCCATTAAGTCCCGTAAGTCGGCTGCTGATCCATCTAAACAATTGCATCGATCACATGGCTCTTCATTCAATCATAAGTTCCTGAACTTAACGCCAGAGTCAAAAGAATTACGCGTAAGTGCTGATGCGGGGAACGAATATGCAGGGAGGAAGAAAGGTCACACAAGACTGAAATCGTGTAGCTCATTCGTTCATCGCAGAGTGAACCAAAAACGTGCATGCAAGAAAGTGTTTTCAAATGATTTACCCATGGTTGAGAGTATCTCTTTTCAGAACGCTGGTCATCATGTGAATTACGCGGGGTCTGTTCCTTGTGAACCTACTGAAAATCAGTCATCAACCGATCGAAGCGATACCTACCAAGGGATAGAAAAAGAAACATCAACTGCAAAAGCCTCCTCCTTGAACCCTTCGTCTTCACTAGGGTTGCAGATAAGCCCTGTTAGAAAAAAATCGAGAAAACTGATTGGGGAGTTGAATATCGCTAAGTGTAAGGAAGGTGTTGAAGCCTCGAATTTTAAGGACACTTCGGTGACCTCCAAGGGTCAGCCATCCTCCTCGAAAGGTTCGGCTTGCGATGACGGGCGGGATGAGTTCGGCGTATCATTATCTCAAACCACGGTCATGCTTACTGATGTAATGCAAAGCGATAGGTTGGAACCGTCAGTCGACGTTTCTACGCCGCTCTTCTCCACACTACGAAATGCATCAGTCAAACTGGAATTGATTACTGATATGTCAGCAGTCAATGTTAATTCGCCAAAAGAGGGTTCGGAAGATGGAGTGAAGTCGATAAATTCGAATGATTTCATAAAGAATTGTGATATTACAACCCAGATAAAAGGTCTCACGACTGAAAGAGCTTCTAATGATGATGCAGAGATGACGATTGCGGTAGAGGATCGGTGCGATGTTACTCACACAAATAATCCAGAAGCATCAATGGCTAATGGAGGGCCGGAAGTAAAACCTCTACGACAAGATCTGGAGGGTTATGAGCTGCCGAAGTTGCTGAAAAGCCAGTCGTCAGTTACATCTACTGAATCCACCGCCGGCGGTGAGTCATCGGCATAATTACACGTCCTATCACTCACGATTTGTATTCCATATTTTCACTCTTACCTCTGTAGATCTTCGTTTTAACAATACTCATTGGATGGTGGTGCCACCAGCGGGAAAGCCAAGCATTGGTTCACTTGCTTCAACTGGTTCATCCTCCAAATCTTCAATAGCCAGTTCTAAGGAATATTCGTGCAAATGTGAGCCCTAAATTAATTTTTTGTTCTATGATTTTGCGAACTCTTAGTTGGCACATCGCTCGCTTAAGATTTCTTGATTGAGATGCTCAAATCCACCTTGAGGTTGGTGATAGTTTAGCAGCGGGGTAATGCGTGCCATGAAAAGTGTCGATCCCATGCTGATGCTATTAGCTTGCACCTTTGAATTCCATGATTCACTCCTTTTCACAGCAAAACTCCTTTTAATTCGAATAGGGTATGTACGGAGATAAATATTTAGGTAAACGAAGCTCGAGAGAAGCATTTGTCATCCGATGCTTCATCACGCATTTTTCATATCATTACCTTAGAATTAGTTCTCAACTTTTCTTTAATGCGTTCCTGGCTATAAATTGGTCTTCCAAAGTAGCGTTATATCGCCTGCAGGGCTATGAGCAGGCTAAGCAAGTTTCAAACTGGTATCTTAAATACTTTTCACAGTTTCGAAGCGTCAGCATTGAGGTCAAATTTTGCGGCCCTATTTGCGGTAAAATTCCCCTCGTGCTACACGCATCACTTTGGTCCATCGACTGAGATTTGGTAACTCTTGGATTTCAATGGCGATATTGACAATCATCAATGTCTATAACGGCTTAAGATCACTATCAGACGTCCTATTATTCTTAGCCAAGAATTTGGTGTCGACGGAAATTAACACTGCTATCGGAGCGGCTACGACGTCGTCGACTAGCGCAGTATCGACCGCCCCCATGGCGCCCTTACTAACAGGAAAAGTAGCTCTCGTGGACTGGGACTGCTTTATAGCTAAGGACCAGCGCAGGGCCCGTTGTAATAATGCTGCCGTTGCTACTGCTCCCACTACTCCCACTCATAATTTCTCCAAGTCACCACTAAAATCCCAACCTCTCCCCTCTGCCAACGTGAAAGTGCCATTGTACCGCAGCTCTGACGCTCTTACCTCTCAACTTTTTGAACGCTGTTCTCCTTGCCGTCCAAAGAAAAGGTTTGCCGATGAGGTTAGTGCGATCTTGTTAGTAAAATGGTAGGGTTATTTGCTAGAAAGCTACCGCTTCTGTATGCTTCTAGTCACTAGCAGATGATATCGAACTCGGTGATCTTAATACTTCTTTTTCTACTTGGTACCACATTTTTACTATTTATTCGTAGAAGGAAAATAAGTAACTCCTTACCAATGGGGAGAGTTAAGTTGTTTCCTCGGCACCTATTTGCGGCGTAAAGTCTTAAAAGCAGACTTAACCGAGGTGAACTAGTAGGCGTTATTTTAATCGCTCGCCTTGTAGTTTCGTTCCATGCAGCTTTGCATTTTGTTACTGGCTTCATGCTTGTTCATAGCGTGTGTAGCACATGTCATTTAAGGGAAACGAATCAGTTTGATGAGGAAGGGCGGTACCTGCGCCATATCAGAACAATTTAACATACCCAAGTCCGGTGAATGATTTTCTCTGAGACTCGCAGATTTTAAGAATTGGTACATCTATGCATGTTAAGTGGCGGTTTTAGATTCTGCTGCGTGTCCAATCGAAGCGGCAGCCATTTGTGATTACCTTAGTCCAACCATCGATTTTTTCCGAATGTGGGTTACTGTCTAGTGTCGAATGTAGCTTTGTTATTTTCGGGTTTCTACTGATTGTTGCTAAGTACAATTTAAAAATATTTGCAGGTCGCAACGCTATCCCCAGGCAAGAAGCAGGACACCGGTGACATTAGTTCTGGTAATTGTTCCTCAAGTCAAACCTGTTTCCGTAATTCCTCCTCGTCTGGATCATTGCAATTGTTTGCTGAGGGAAGCGTCGTAGAACGTACCTCTGTGGCAATGCCTTCGAAGTCGAACGAAGAGATATCTCCAAAACATGTATCCACCTCGTCATTGGATTCATCTCTACCGATGAATGATGATGAGAAGGTATCTATACGCTTTATGCTCGAGATCTTTGATTGCTTATTTCTTCAAGTTAGGGTGTTTTCTCTTCTAGGCTGTTGAATCCAAGGCTTCTGCAAGGAACGAGAATGCAACTCACATTGTTAATCCGCCTCTTTCTCCTCATGACAATAGCGATTCGAATTCAGTGAGTTTTGTATAAAACGTTTTTAATTTAACCCGATGATCATTACCATTTGGCTGGTTTTAGGAGGCTACCGCTCCCGCTGTTAACAATAGTCAAGAGCTAGCAATTTCTCCTACTAAAAATCGTCAATTTGAACGTAAACGCCTGCGCCCGCGCAAATCTATCGACTACTTTGGGTTTGCAAAGAGGACGAAGAAAAGAGTGAGGATGGAAGAAGTAGTTAATGAAGTTCTTTCGAATAATGGGAATACCAGACAGACGGATGCTTGGAAAGACGAAGACTGTGAGAAAGTGGCGAGTAATGAAACTAATGAATGCAAAACAAAACATATGACTACACATTGTTGTCCAGTTTGTCGACTGACTGGCTTTGCAACCCTGGCAGAGCTTAAGGTACATAGGACGATCTCGTGTCGAAGAAAGTTAAAGAAATCAAAACGTTTGAAAGAACGTAACATTGAGTGGTACTGCCCTGGCTGCCCCTCTACGCAGGGTCCTTTCGAATCAGCTGCAGCTTTGCTCACCCATTTGCTTACCTGCCGCACGAAGAAGTCGGTTGGTGGACGCGTAAGGGTCAATCATCCAGCACTTTCTTCCGGTCCCCTCTGCCCGTCGACCCTGTTAGGACCCTCCACCACTTTTGGGTGTTCAATCTGTGGCGTCATTGTCGCATCTGAGTCGAGGTTGGATAAGCACCGCAGGGATGAACATAATTCCTAAAATCTCGAATTCCTCTTTGCTTCTGGATCACCACACACCGGTGAACCGCATTTGTGTATATATGTACATATTTTTGTGCATTTCTACTCCAAACACTCGCAGAATTCGCACGCGTTTGAGTTTGTTTATGAGGCAGCTGTCTTTATCTACGAAATTTTTAAAATTTTGTATTGTTCTTAGGGCAACTATTAAATGTGTCAGTGGTGTTGTTTCGTCCATATTTTGCTTGGTTTGGGTGTTTAGGGGAAATGCGAAGTCCTCATCAGCGTTACACCAATTAGGGCTGCAAAGTTTTGGTGTGGGTTTCCTATTTGGGACTCAAAAGGTGTCTTCGATATCTCTGATTTGGGCTCTGTTGGCATCCACACCGCGCGTCGTTTGATTGCGTCTTTTCTCATAAATAACGTGAAATTTGGACTAGCGCGTTTGGTTTTTCAAGTAAGGAAAAAAATTTGATGGGGAGGAAGAGGGAATAGGTTTCTTAACTTTGTCAGGCGGAAGTGACTGCAGGATGATAAAAATGTTACTCTTTGTCGACACAGGATACTCTGTAGTGGGAAGGAGGAAGTCTCCTCCAACTGCTTGCATCGAGCTTAAAATCAACTCCGTGCCTTAGGCTTGTCAGGAAATCATTAGGTCGTCCTCTGAGGAAGGACGAATCGCGGTTCTCAGACACGCGCAACCATATTCCAGACACGACTATCGCTTGTTAACCAAGGAATTGCACTCCTGTTCCTTATGTCAGTAAAGGCAGCTGAGCATTTATCTTCGTTCTTTGCATTGGAGAAATTGTAGGCTCATGGACGAGACTGCCAAGAGGCGTCTGAGGATAGAGTCAATGAGCTGTTATATTCAATCGCTTGATTAGGCATTGCTTCACTGCAAGAGAACGATCAGTTTGATCGGACTCCTTCCACTAAGATGGTATGTGACTTGCATTTTTACTCCTCGACACAGCTCATTTGCAGCCGGCAATCGGAGAAATAGCCTTTAGATAGCATTGTAGGAAAGTGTTGTACATACTTGGGCATGTGAATCAGACG